AAAAAAAAGCGATCCAGTCCAAAATGCCAACAGCTCCAAAGCTGAGAAACCCTGGTCTAGAACGCTCGGGCAGTGCGTGTTCATTTGGAGGCCCGCGACTGAAATAAGAGGCGGTAACTCTCTCTCGGTGAAGAGAAGGCAGTGTGGGTAAGCTGGAATCAGTGACCGTTAAGATCAGTGCTCGGGACGCCCATTTGAGCCGGGGCATCTGTGCCTCTCTTCTTCTGGCCTGACGCGTGACTCTCTGGTGGTGGGGAACCGCACACTTGACGCTTCTCTAACTATGGTAGTTGATGGACAAAGCCCGGGAGGCTGGGTTGAGGACTCACCTGCACTTCACACATCAGCCCCTCCCCCCACACTTGTATTTATTTCGCAGTGGCTTCAAAACTTATAGGAGTGAGGCTAGGAATATTTAACTAGACTCCAAAGGCTTGCCCTGGCAAACCCAAACGTATTAAGTAAGAGCAAAGCCACAAGATCGATCTGCCACGTCCAAGGGAAACAATTAACTCTTTCCAAGCAGAGACTGCTGTGTGCCAGGAACCATTCCAGATGCTTTCATAGCTGTTACTCAAAGTAGGAAGAAATGAGCCAATGAAGCGATCTGATAAAGCTGAGGGGTGCCCTAAAAGGAAGTACGGTTGACCCTCAAATAACATGGTTTGAACTACGTGTGCTTATACGCAGTTCTTTACAGTATGGTACTGTAAACATAGTTTTCTCTTATAATTTTCTTAATAACGTTTTTTCTCTAGCTTACTTTAAGAATATAGTATATGATACACATTACATATGAAATGCATGTTAATAGATGGTTTATGTTATCGCCTCCCCTCACCCCCTCACTGTTCAAGGGTCAACTATATTTCCCTTGCTTTGGGGACCGACCAACCAAAGGGTATTTTGCTGGGAAGTTAAGGTACCACTACCTGTGATCCACGTGTTCTGGGGACAGAACACCAAACACTGGTTAAGAACACATCCCATACACTTAGCTCTCCAACATATGGGTGTCCTATCATCTTGGGAAGTTACTCAACCTTCTTGTGACTATGAGCTTTTTCACCTCGGTAGGATAGGGACAGTCACTGTACCCAACTCAGGGTCATTCTGAGGAAATGAGTAAATGTTTGCAAAGTGTTTACAACAGTACCAACATGGTAAGAGTTTGTTAAACAGAATACATATTATCTAAAAATCCATCATCTGCAGAAAAAAATAGGGAGGTCTACCCGGCACGGCCCTTGGGAAGAGAGTAGCTGGGGAAATCAAAAAAAGATGTCTCCCAATTTCAGGGACAACCCTACCTCTTAGCCCTTGTCTACAGATGAGGGCCCACATGGAGCAGGGCCAAGGACCCCCTCTCCCCCCAGTGCCACAGCTAGAAGTCAGCAGAGCTGGAATTTCAAGTCCCATGTGCCTGACCCCATAAAGGGAGCCCCGGTGAGGTACCAGGGATCGAAGGTTCCCCGACTCACCCACAGACAAGATCTCCTGGCACTTTTCACACTGGTCCTTCATCTTCAGGCACCCAGTGGAGTTGTGACGGATCTCCTTGCACACGGCGCCGTCCTGGTTCTCTTCTGGAGACACACGAGGGAAGAGGGCATCATGCTGAGGGACCACACAGAGCAATATAGGAATGGGCCCCCCCTCTGACCCCTTCCACACTACTGTTTGCCTCTTTGAGATGCTTCTGTGGGCAGAGCAGGTTGGGAATGGGTTGTCTGCCTACAGACCTAGGCCTCTCTGATCAGGGCTCCCTGCAGAGGGACAGGAGGGGGTTCCCGGGGCTCCCTCACTTAGGTGTGACCTCACCTCCCACCATCTCCATCCGATGAGCCCTTCCTGCCTCCACACTGCCATAGCTATATGCCGTTCTCTTTGGCATCTGACCCTTTCTGCTCTGCATTCTATCTGGCTCATCTCTCTCCCCCTAGGGTCAGCAAACCCCTTGAAGGCAGGAATGGGATCCTTAGAGTGGCCTTAGAACACAAGGCTCCCCCCCCATCATGGATATGCAGTAGATGCTGTTCAATTCAATGTCCTCCTGTATCTCCAAACCGTTTCAAGCCAAACTTTGTGCCAATCCAACGGTAGCCTTTAGGAGATGGTGTTGGCTGACCATGTCTGTTAGTTTAACGAAGGAAATCACTTCTACAAGTATTGACTTTTCATGTCCATAGTAGACCTCATTCATTCAAAAAATATTCACGCATGCCCCCCGGTGATAACCAGGAACAGCTTTCTAAACTGTAGCATGGACTGATTATATAATCGGTCACCACTGTAGGCACGGCATCCACATAAAGGCACCTGGGTTCCCAAGACAAAGGGGTCTGTTTCTCTAGAAAGGAGTAATCAAAGTCACGCCCACCAGTGGCTGGAAGGGGCATGGTAAACTTGAGAGAACACAGATACCAAGTCCAGCAGGGCTACATTTGACCAGGTCCCCCTTTGTCGGCTGTGAATACTTGGACACGTTCCTCCACCTGTCATACTTTTCTCCTCCTTAAATGGGGATAATACCACCTTCATGGGGTTGCTGGGGGAAACTGGGATGCCACACGCCAAGCCCCTGGCATAGTCCTTAGAATCTAACGGCTTCTCAGTAACTTGCTTGTTCCCAACCCTTCTTAGGAAGAATGAGACGGCTTTCTAACCTTCTGTGAATTCCATTGGGAAGTGAGGGATTCTATGCAGGTTGACATCCATGGCCTGCTGAGCCTGATGTATCATGTCAAAGAAGGGCTGAAATATGTTGTGGAAATTCAAGGGTTGGTAACCAGGGAAAGGCATTATGTTCCGGGCGAAGCGGGACTTGGGATTGAAGAAGAAAGGCCTCCTCTGGAATGAGCTGAAGGGTGAGTAGCGGTAAGGGTCCTGGGGCTCACGGGCGAAGAATCTGTCCTGGAAAAGCTCATCCATAATGCTGGACACCCGGTTGAAGCTGTCCTGCATGACGTCCAGGGCGTGAGTCTGCTGCCGGTCATTCTCCAGCAGGGAGTCGATGCGGTCGCCATTAATCCAGAAGTAGAAGGGAGAACTCTGGTTCAGAAACTCCTCAAGCTGTGATGGCAGAACGGGGAAGTTAGGAGAAGCTCGCTCAAGTCCCAGCCTCCCCTTGCGCCCCCTCGCTGCCCCTCGGTCACCTCAGTCACATAGCACATGACCAAAGCCCCTGCTGGGCCTGGCTCCCTGGCCCCCCAGCTGTCAGGCCAATGCCCTTCCATTCTACCTGCCCAAAGGGGGAAGAGTTTGGGAAGACATCTGAGGCCAAGAGATGCATCAACCCCTGTCACCTGAGACTGGTCTCCTCTCTGGCCACCAAGGATCCCCACACCCCGACTCAGCCAAGGGCCAAAGGATGGGCCTTCGGTTCATGAGTTGCAACCAGGCGAAGCCCACAGGAGAGGATGGAATTGATATGAATGTGCTAAAATTCTTAATTCCTTCTGCCTAAGAGGACCCAGGGATGAGCCATACTACGAAGTCGCTTGTTATGTCATCCAGCTAATAATTTCTGGATAAGAATCTTCTAACACACGGCATAGGTGCTTTTAATGACTTCACACTGGCTCACTGATAGCAAACGTTACCAACTGATCGTGGACTCCAGGCCCCAATGCAGCCGGGACTGATCAACTGCATCTGGCATGTGAAATGAAGTCGTGATACTGTGATTTATAAAAACAAGTGTATGTGTGGTCTTCGTCTGGTTCCTAAAGCCCTTAGAATTTCCTGTGAGGAGAGCAATAAAGTTATATGCTAATAATAAATTAAAAAATAATAAAGTCATGCTAATGAGGTGGCTTTTGGAAAGCACCTGAGGATGGGGGTGGGTCGCCAGGGGAACCAACCAAGATTAGAACAATGGAATTTTTAATCCCGTCTCTTGAGGTCTGGAGAGGGGAGATGTGCTGGAGGTTGAAGCCATCAGCAATGGCCAATGATTTTATCAATCATGCCCATGGGAGGAAGACTCCATAAAATCCCAAAAGGATGGGCTTGAGGAGTTTCTGGGTTGCTGAACGTGTGAAGATGCAGGAGAGCGGTGACCTCTCAGAGGGCATGGAACGCTCCCCACCTCTTGTCCATACCTGGAGCTATGCATTGCCTCTCTCTGGCTTTTCAGAGTTAGACCCTTTTATAATAAACCAATAACCTAATCAGTCAAATGTGTGTCTGAGTTGTGAGCTGCTCTAGCAAATTAATTGAACGCAAGGGGGGGGGTTGTGGGAACCTCCAATCTATAGCCAGTCGGACAGAAGCACAAGTGACAAGCCAGACTCATGATTGGCACCTGAAGTTGCAGGGGTGGGGAGGACAGTCTGTGGGCCTGAGCCCTTAGCCCATGGGATCTCATGCCGTCTCCGGGGGGACAGTGTCAGAACTGAACTGATTTGTAGGCACCCAGCTGGTGTGGGAGAACTGCCCCACCTGCTGGAACTGGGGGCAGGACCAGAGAAGGGGCATATTTCACACTCACTTCCCGCATCTGCCACCCAGAGCCCCGCTGTGCTCAGCAGCCTGTCCCCTTTCACCTGGTGGCCAACCAGCCCCGAGCTGCTTCTGCAGACGCGGGCGTAGAACTTCATGCAGGTCTGTTTCAGGCAGGGCTTACACTCCTCCCAGAGGGCCATCATGGTGTCATTGCACACCCCCTGTGACGCCTTCAGCTTCGTTTCCGAATCCTTGGTATCATTTAGGGCATCCTACGGGAGGACACGAGGTCAGGTTAGCCACGCGGAAGCCACAGGCTTCACGCTCTGCAAGCAGGCACGATGGCGCCGGGCTCTCCACCCCCTCAGGCCTTTTCCCGGGTCCAGCCACACAGAGTCCCTCTATCCTCCTCTGGCTCCTGCGTTCCCCCAATTGGCCTGGAATTCCCTCCCCACCCAGCTTTAAACATCTTCTCAACTTCGAGACCTGGCTCTTCTTTACAGTCCTCCCCGGCCACTAGAACGCACGTGGATATCCCCTTTCTCTGACACTGCCCTTAGTCTTGACCCCAGAGGCGCTCTGAATCTTATTAGTCAATTGCAGCCACGGGAGGAAGCAAGCCTTCAAAATCAAAGTCACAACAACTACCAAAACCCTCTAGCACATCCATGTCATTTGGCCCAAAAATTCTATAAGAATCCATCCCAAAGAATTCCTGCCATAAAGGGGAAATCCATATGCATGAAGATATTTGCTATGGTATTTGTTTATGGCGGGGGGGAAAAATACTGGAATCAACCCGGATGCTTAAAAATAGAAGGTCAAGCAAATCGTTGGTCTACACAGAGGCCGGAGATGCACGGCTTTGCGAGGGTGTTCGTAGTTAAGTTTTAAATAGTATAACAAGCATTTTTCATGTTAACAAGTTGTGATTTTGAATATAGTGACTATCAGAAGAGTATAGAGGGGGGAAAAAAAAGAGTGAGAAACAGATCAAATGTTAACAGCGAATTGTCCAGAGGTTAAAAGGGTTTCAGAAAACTTTTCCTCTCCCACTTTTCTATATTAAAATCTCGACAAATGAGTGTATTAATGCTTCAAAGAAGAGTTAAGTAGACCATCCACACCCAAAGCAAAGAGCTGACCAGGAAAGAGTTTGAGTTCTGTGAGATCCCTCTCCTGTTGCGGGTCCCCTGTTCCTGCTGGGAAGGCCACCAGGCCTCCTACTGAGCCAATGCACCATCATCAACTACACGGCCCACTTCCTTTCTTTCCCGTTCACAGATTCGGGAACTAAGACGGCATGGAGTCTTTTCCTGAACTTGATGGGCTTTATCACAGGACCTGGATTGTAGGATACCAAACTCTGATGATAACCACAAAAACTCAAAAATAGGACTTGCCTGACACTTCTCGATGAGCTACTTGAGGATTCTCATAGTATTATGCTGAGCGAAATAAGTCAGTCAGAGAAAGACAAGTATCATACGATCTCACTGATATGAGGAATTCTTAATCTCAGGAAACAAACTGAGGGTTGCTGGAGTGGTGGGGGGGTGGGAGG